GACATATAGGTTATTCAGAAGAACCCTTAAGATCGAATGTCACATCATAGACCTCCAAAACTAATAAAAAAACATGCAATAAAATTTATATACAGTTGCCTCATCGGTCATTTAAGTGGGGAAGAATACATGCAAAAGAGCGAGAAATAGAATTAATATTCAAAATATAGATAATTGGATAAGACATCAATATAATAAACAATAAAAGTTTTCACCCAACATTGAAAATAAAGTAGCTATAAAAAAATATAATTGGTTCATTCAACAACCAACAATGACATCTATAATCCGCTCTCTTAGCTTTATCATCTCCTATGCACCTTCCCCATCCTAGGTGCAACTCTCAGGTAATTCATCCTCTCACTGTGATGAAGATTGTCTTAGGCGATTTTCAATTGCTTCAGTAGAGACATGTTAATGATCCTCATCAACCATGCTGAAAGCATCGTCACTGCACAAGGGATGTTGTCGTATATAGTTGTGGAGAGTCATGGTGACCACCACAATTTGCACTTTCTTAGAAAACAGATATGTCGGCATATCCAACAGTATGACTCATTTTTTCTTCCACACTCTAAATGTTTTTTCAATAAGACCGCGTAAGAATGAGTATCTCTTGTTAAACATTTATTTCCTACCATGAACGACATTATTAGCCCCTTCAAAGTCGAGAATGTGATATTTGGTATTCGAAAATGACTTTGGATACCCTCTTTGTAAAAGATATCTAACATTGACCAAATAACGATTATCTGTCACAAAAACAATAATTAGTATTACATTGAAAATATATCTAATTAGGGTTTATGGTGAAACAAACTTGGAGTGGGTGAGAAAAGCTGTAATTCTTATTTCTTGTGACAAATTTGAATATACGATTGTCGTGTGCACTGTATTTCCGATCAATCATAACAAAAGTAAGGTACATGTTGAAATCACATACAATCATTACATTTTTTGTTGGTGATCCACATCGCCCAATGAATGTGATATTTTCATTATTCGACACATGCATCCACATGTATTTCATCGATTGCTCTAATAAAATTTTATTAAAACTAATAAGGGTATAAAAAATAATGTATTTAATTGACTTCTAGAATTAATGTATAAAAAGAATTACCTTGAAAGATAATATAAATCACGGGTCATGTGCAATCTCTATGGAAGTCCTTTCAAATGTTGGGTTGTCTGGCATGATAACTTTTGATGATAAACTGGCTAGAGCATTCAAATCAATTGAAAAGTATCTACTGATTGTTTCTGATGAGTGTTAAAATTGCTTCATGATCTCTCATATATTCATTATGTGATAAAATGTAAAGGGTTATTGCTAACACCTCTTTGGAATTCATCTTGGAGGAGCCATGAAGTCCATGATTCCTGTGTAGTTCATCCAAGATATCGATGAATATGGATGGTGTCATACATAACATATTAATGAATCTCGTTGGGTGCCCTAAAAGCATCTCTCTAACCCATTAATCACCAAAGTATGAATATGTCATGCAAGGAGATCAAGCTATGTATAAGTTTTTGTACTCATACATCAAACAAACTGTAACTACAATTCATCTTTTGCATCTCTCTCTATGTGCGTCCATCTTATTCACTGAACATTGAGCCACGACATGTAAGATTCAATATAATTAGCTTCTTTCAAAACATTACCCAAACAAACAAAAATAATAAATAAACTTGAAAAAAGCAAAATAACAAAGTGCTCGAAGAAAAACAGATATCCAAAGTAGCATTACTAGTGTCAAAGTTAAAAATAAATATCCAAACAACATAAACAGTTTCCAAAAAAAATAAATATAAATTGTCTAACAAGTAGAAATGACCCTCAAGTGTCACTGTTCTCATGAAAATAATGTAAATAATTACCCTATGGTGAAGAATCATTTTCATGAAGAATTCTCTCTGAGTCGGGTCTTCAAGCAACTTCATAGAGAATAAATACAATGACATATCCTCATAAATTTCTAGAGTTGCTTCTAGAATTCACATAACTTATTGAATTGAAGTTGCTTGTGAAGTATCAGGGTCATTAATGCATGAAAAAACTAACTGTAATATTTGATTTCTAATAAAAATAACACTTTTTCTCAACCCTTGGATGCTTAGAACGACTGGAAAATTCAACTTCATTAACGTTAGGTTGGAGGCTTCATTTGAACTAGAAGTTAGCTCGACATCCACATGCTCGGCTATGCCAACAAACCATGTCTCGCTAGGCGTCATTGCATGGCCGCTCATGGCAAAGACTCCACGAAACATATAAGCTAACCTTTCTTTAAGCTCGAGGATGAAACCTTTCAACTTAAACTTTTTATCATTTGGAACCACCTATAAAATAATGGATTATTCATTTGTTGATGTAATTGAAGAAGTTTATAATTGGTAAGAGAATTCATGCAACATAAATTCTCACATCTAATCTCTCGGCCCACCATTCTTTGGAAACATCTATAATTCGCTTTATAGGGTCCCAATCCAAGCCAGTGGAACCACATTTCAACTCTTTCCATATTTTTCAGTTCTTCTTTGATTGATCACATTTATTTTTCAATTTTATCTGGTCATATTCCCTTCATGTGTGTTCCTTGAACTTCATTATATTTTGTTAACCCTTATTATTAAAATAGGTAGTTGGTTTATTTCCTAATGCCAAGATCGTATTAAAATAGGTAGTTGGTTTATTTCCTAATGCCACCTCTTTAAGACAAAGATCATGGTTTATTTCCTAATGCCAAGATCGCAAAAGATAAGTTTGGCATATTGATCCTACATGGCAGACGAACTAGTTTCATTTGTCTTTACCATGATGATACTAACAAGAAAAATCACTAAGCAACATAAATGCAAAGCAGATGAAAAATAAAATGTCAAAAAAGCCATATCTTGAAAAACCAACTAAAGTGAAACATCGTAGCAAACCACGAACACCAACGTCGCCACTAATAACACCACCAACATCACGACTAACAACAATCCCATAAACAACCATGACACAACATCACCACAAACACCATCACCACCATGACACCGAAGAACCACCCCAAGCATCTACACACACCACAATTTCCACCACATCACACCATCACCAACACACCATAACTACCACTACAGCCCATAAACCACAACATAATGAGAAATAGAGCAACACAACCATACCATTTCCACCACACCACAATCATCACAGCAACAATACCACACCTTACCACCACTGCAACCCATAAATGACACCAACACCATAATGTGAAAGAGAACAATGCGCTCACAATGCGCCCAAACAACTTCCCCCATACCATCACCACCACACCATAAACACCACTACAACTCATAAACCACAACATATGAGAAAGAGAGCAACACCACCACACCACCGCTATAAGTTATCAGGTCCTTACGTTAGTTTAGAAAAGGTGATCACCATCCTCTATCAAATCACAAATCACAAATCACATTAGACAAGATAACCTCAAACTAAAGTAACATTCACAAACTGAATTGGGTAAAGACACCAACAACCTGAAATCATCGTAGGCAAAGAGAACCCAAAAATCATAAAAGAATAAGGACATTCCAAATCATTTTCTTCCAACCGCAAACCCCATACAAATTCCCCAAAAAAAAATGAATCTTGTTCGTCCAAAAACAATATGCAAACAATAAAAAGATCAAAAACCAAGTTCCCGACAAACACACAAAGAAAACGAAATAGGGAACTTCTGAATCCATCTATTTCAACAAAGTACCGCAGAGAGCAAAAAAACCACAAACCACAAATCCAACCGCAAACCCCATACAAATTCCCCAAAAAAAATGAATCTTGTTCGTCCAAAAACAATATGCAAACAATAAAAAGATCAAAAACCAAGTTCCCGACAAACACACAAAGAAAACGAAATAGCGAACTTCTGAATCCATCTATTTCAACAAAGTACTGCAAAGAGCAAAAAAACCACAAACCACAAATCAGAAAAAAAAACAAAAAACAACAAATCGAGAAGCACAAAAGGACCTCATACCAAAAACCGCAATAACAAAATGACCGCATACCACAAACCGTGACAACAAACCAAAAATAAACCTCGATGGAAGTATGGAAGGAGATACCAGAGATAGTAGGAGAGCAGAGAAGAAGTGAACACCGACAATCCCTTGCCAAGGAATGAAGAAAAGCAAGGGAAGAAAATAAACACTAGGCAACGTCATCGCTCAAGAGAATAGGCAAATAGAGGCAATCAGGTAATCACAAACCAAGTGAAACGCTAATCATAGGGACCTCATAAGTTATGGAGATTACGCCGCATTTTTAATTTCCAAATGCTGGAATCATCGTTTTCAAAACAAGTCGCAGCAAATAAGCTGCACCAAACAAAGCCTAAGTTAATCAATCAGGTAATCACAAACCAAGTGAAACGCTAATCGTGGGGACCTCATAACTTATGGAGATTACGCCGCATTTTTAATTTCCAAAAGCTGGAATCATCGTTTTCAAAACAAGTCGTAGCAAATAAACTGCACCAAACAAAGCCTAAGTTAAAAATTGAGCTAAATAAGATCAAATATGAATGAAGTACTCAAACAGAACAAAAAACTAAATTCCTGATAGCCACAAGAAAAATTACTTATTAAAAGAGAGGAATAAAACAGCACAAAATAAATTCCCACAGCTATATTTTATAGGAAAAATTACATACATACCTCAATTCTTATGTAAGTACATATCTAACACTACTATCATTTATAACACTTCCGTTTGAGGAACCTATAAATGAAAATGTGTATCTCACTTCTTTTTTATATGATAAGAAAATAAACATTTCATTGCCATGCATGTAAAAACAGTAAAGTTTAGCCGTTATATATGTAAATACATAAGAATTATGTGGTATGTATGTAAATGTCCCTTTTTTATAAGCAGAAAACCACTTAAAAAATAACCAATTATGATTTCATAGCAACTATCTTTTAACTCAACCACAAATGTCTCAATGAAAGGATAACAAAAACTGACACAAACAGCTCAATCTTTGACTCAGTACTAAAGATCAATAGAAAGTAAGAAAAAAAATTAAGAAGCTGTGGAATTGGAACAATACATAATTGGTTTGCTCTGTGGACTCTTTTGCAAATAATAAATCTGAGTCAAGGCGCTCTAAAATCTACAACACATTAAATATTTTGTTCAGAAATGAGTCAGCTCCTTTCTTGTTTGGGTACTTTCTTTGTTGAGAGCTATGACTTGAAGAGATAGCCGAGAATAATGCCCAAAAGAGCTATGGCCAGCACAACAATGAAGGAGAAGCCGCCCTGCTTTTTGCTCAGTTCTCTCTTCAATAGCTCCTGCACAAATAATTCATGGGTGACTTGAGATTGGTGGGAGAGAGGAGAAAAAAGGTTGGGAAAATTTGCATATATACCACTCAATTCCTATGGATTTACATAATGAAAAACTAAACAAAACATTGATTTTTACATATATATATATATATATATATATATATATATCACGTTGCATATGCATGAAAAGTCATATTTCAATTTTTAAAAGTTAAAATAGTGGTACTTTTATGTGATATGAAAAATTTGGATGATATAAATGTAAAAAGTAGGGTGTCGGTGTTAGATATGTAAATATATAGGAATTGGTTGGTATGTATGTAAATGCCCCAATGATTTGGAAAATTTCATATATAACACCGGATTCCTATGGATTTACAATATTCTAACACTTAATCTTGAATTTTTACATATATGCTACCTTAACTATACAAGAAAATGTGTATTTCACTTTCTAAAAGTTAAAATAGTGGTATGTATTTTATGTGATATTAAAGATTTAGGTGAAATAAATGTAAAAGTAAAGTTGGGCGTGAGATATGTAAGTACATTGGATTTGGGTGGTGGTATGTATGTAAATGCACCAAAAGATTGTGGAAATGGGGGAAATTTTTTGGATTGAGTGCTACTCAAACAATACTCATTAGGAGTAATATATACAACAACAACAACAACAACAACAACAACAACAAGTCCCACTAAGTCGGGTCGGCTACATGAATAATTTTTATGGATTGCGTCCTATTGAAAAATAGGGGTAATATATATATTGTTAGAATAAAACTTAAGATGATCTCTTATTGATGCAAAGAGGAGTATAAATACCCAATACAGAATGTACTAGTAAAGAAACAAAATAAAGACAGAATAAAGAAATAAAGGAAATAAAGTAACACCAAATAAAATAATCAATATATATATATATATAGATACACACACAATATTCACTAGGAGTGTGATTTTACAAAATGTATACAATAGTCAAAATTTTAATCGAAAAATCATAGTTTTGAGTGATATATGATTCATATAAACAAAATCATACGATTTTTATATTAATGTTAAAGTTTTTTATAAAAGCTCTTATAGCCCATTTGGCATCACTTTCGTTGCCTATTTTTGTTTTTATTTTTAAAAATTAAATCAACTTATCTTTAAAAAATTCAAAACATCTAAAAAGTATTTTGAATCTTTTTAAACAAGGAGATTTACGTACATATCACACAATTGTTATGTTTTTACATATCTAACATATAAACATTCTTATTTAGATGCATACCACTCAAATCTTCAACATAACATAAAAAATAACACAATCACCATCTTTTTCAAAGTGAACTACACCTTTTTATGCAAAGGTTCATGAAGCTCAGGTATTATAAGTGTAAATATCGAACTTTGGGTGTTAGATATATAACTGCATAAGAATCGTGTGGTATGTTTATGAATTTACATACATACCACACAATTCTATTGAATTTATATAAAAAACAAAAGTGATCCCAAACGGACCTTAATATTTGATGCAAATGCCTAGCACAACTGGTGAATTTTTGTGACAGTTCCTGATATATCTATTCTAGAAACGTGAATCTGGACTGATTATTTTTGTTGAAATAAAGAATCAATGCGTGAAAGAATGCTCACTTTCCTTGAAATGCAAAGCAAATCTAACAAGAAGGAGATATAACTGCAGAATAAGTAGATTATGTTATTAAAGCTCAACAAAAGCCAACCGCTTATTGGGTAATTTCATACCATTATGATTCCTATTTTTTTCCACGTCAACCAGGCACCACACTTCTTTTTCCACCCGCTCTTCTATATTTTAATTTTTTGCATAACACATACAAAGAAGTCCGCAATGTAGAGAAAATAATAGGATGTGCATTAATTATTCTGATAAAAAAATCGAACCGAACCCAACATGATTGATTGTTTTGGTTTGGTTGATGAAATGACAGTTCAAGTTCTGGTTTTAGATTAAATGTCATTTGGGTTATGGTTACTTGTTCGGATTAGAAATAACTTTAATTAAACCAAAAACCCAAATTACATGGTAGTTAAATCAGATCCATCAACCAATTAGCTTAACAAAAGCGTCAAACAAACCATCCAAACTTACAAAATACACACCCCACTATCAGGATTTTGAAATCCATCTCTGAACTATTTATGGAGAGCTGGTTTAGTCCCAAACTATCTAAAATACCCAATTTAGTTCATTCGCTCCTCAAATATGATACAAAATAATTCATTGACTCCTCAAATTTGTTCCAAAATAATATAAGATAAAGAACACTTTGGATCATATTTAGCGAGACAATGGACTAAATTAATCTGTTATTTAACTTTTTTATTAAATAAATAATTATTATCTAACAGAGTTATGAGAGATTTAACATTTTGGCCAACAAAACATTGCTATGAAATCATAAAGAATGGGAAGACATCAACTGATTTGAAGATAATAGTAATTAAGGAAAAAAAAGTTTGCAAAAAAGTAGTTATCACTTAAGATTGGCACAATTTATGGGAGAATATAATAGAACATAGGCAAAAAAAAACTCAAAAATATCATCTTCATTGATCTTTTCCTACAATTTAGGCTAACTTATCAAAACTAGTAACTAGCAAATAATTAATAGTAATCAAATTTCAAATCCAACAGAATTATAAGAAATATAATCAAATTTTGTTCTACTAGTTATGTCATTTATTTTTAAATGTTCCCTTCATTGTTAACTATTCAAGCATTTCAAAGATACCTTATAAAACTATATCAATGCAAATAAAATACACAAAATATCTTACTTCGAAAAAAACTTGTAAGCATATCCATAATTACTACAAAAAGATACAAACCTAATATTAATCCTTTTTTAAGATAAATTGCCCCTCGTTAATGCCTATAAATAAATTATATTAGCACTAAACTATGCCAATTTATGATAAATGAAGACCAATATGTATATCATTTTGTTGTCCATCAAACCTTTTCATTAACTATCATACAGAACAAAAAAACTTCATAATAGATCTTCCTCCAATAAAATCAATTTGATGCCTTGAAAGCAACGTGATTTTTTAAGCTTATGTTCTGATGTCCTCGTCCATAACTTGACTGTATGGTTCTTAACTTGTGATTTCTCAATAAATAGTAATTACTACAATCATCAACATTATCTATCTAGCTTTACACGAAACTACTACTCGAATTATTTGATATATTCTACATCTTCAAAATTTCATCAAAAAATTTAAAAAGTTCTCCAAATTAACCATAGTTCTCCAAATCTCATCGGATATTCATCTGAATAAACGATTTTACTATTACGCTTCTTCTTCGCATCTTAAACATCACTATTTTTGGATCAATTTGAGTAACTTCATGGTTCTGCTCGTTTTTCTCTTAATAAAAAAAAACCTTGATCACTCAATAAACAATTGATTAAGAAGCATTTTAATCATTTTCTATCTCTCCACTTTATACATTTAACATGAAAAAAGTTATCATCTCCCAATAAACATCAAAGTGTCCATATATCTATTGAACAATTGGCTACCATTTTTTACAATTATGGTTAAATGAATCTGCTTGATCTTTAACTGATACATGATTTATACCAGCCCCTGGTTTGAATTTCATAATATAATAACAAGGAATGGGAAAAGGTTAGGGCTCAGAGGTTCCTATCACATCATTCTACCCTTAATGTTGGTCAATAATAAGTTAACAAACTTGTTTGTTAAATCTTCCCATTACCTTGGAAATAAAGCTAAAGAGAGGATATTTTTCATTGTTAACTATATCAATCACTATCATCATCATTGTGTCATTGGCCTAATGCCAACTATTTGGGGCCAGCTAAAAGAGTCCTCATTTCACATTTCTCCCTATCCAAAGTTGAGCAAAGTATTGAACCTATTTACGTACATATATTTTGCATATTTTCTATCAAAGTTACCTTCAACCTAACCCATTTGCTTCATAATCCTTCAACAATAATTTTATTTGCCATCTTCTTTGCGCATTTTTTTCCTTTTGTTGCACATGATCATTAGTTTTATCCCAACTATTTGAGGTTAGTGTTAATCTTCATTTTGGCAGTCGCTTATACTGAATGTTGTCTGTGATGTTAAATATATTCTCTGTAAATTATTTTGAACTCCCGTCCATTAATCTTAGGCCTATCTCTTTTCTGTTTGGTTTTAATACTTCTATTAAAGCACTATTAAAAAAAATCCTCTTTTTTTTTTGCATATGTTGATTCCCAATAGCCTTAAAACACAGCTTTCAAAGTCTGAACAAACTTTTGCAAAAACCAAAGATCGGCCAAACAAAGCCTCAGAGACATTAACTTCAATATTTTTTAATGATCTTTGGAACAGATGCTAATAAAACATCAATACTATAAAATCTCTCATTTTAACATGAAGACTGCCCATAAAACCTTTAAATGATCATACTCCATAAACTAAGCTAAGGCACTCTTAATGGATTTCTCAATTTGCTAAAACCATTAATGTTCCTTCACAAAGATGTTTGGAGTACATAAACTATGTAACATGAGAACACCCCAAAACCACAAAGATTGAAAAGCTAACCAATGTTGAAATTGTGGAACGGATTTAGATAACAAAACACGACTCATAAAAGGAATAAATTAAATAATAATTCATGCCTTAGACAATTGGACTAATTCCTGCGTGATAATTATCATATGTTACATGTTCAATAAGGATGACAGCACTACAACATTCCACGGTCTAATTGTTGTAGAAACTATTCTCTCCACAGAAAACCAAGCGAACTTTGCCCATTTAAATTTGGCCAAAATAAGTTTGTTAGAACTAAAATGTTCAGCTTTCTATGACCAATAAGGCTTACAAAATAAAAAAGGGACAAATGCATAAATACAACTCAATTTCTATGTATTTACATATCTAACACCTTAGCATCAATTTTTACTAATATGCCACCGCATATGCATTAAAAGTTAAAATAATGATATTTTTATATGATAGTTTTATAAATGTAAAAAGTAAAGTTGAATTAATAGATAAGTAAATACATAGGGATTGGGTGGTGTGTACGTAAATTCCCCAAATAAATAACCTTCACAAATCATCTGCTATTTCACGTTCGTATTGCAACACAACCTCCAAATCACAAAATTACATAACCACAAGGTCGACAAATAAAGCACAAAACACGTGCAATTAGAGTATTTGGCTACAACCGAAAAACTAAACCAAACCAATTTTTGTTTGGATGATTTGGTTTGATATTAAAATTAGTGGTTCAAACATTGGATTTGATTAGTGAAATTTTTGGTGGTTAGTTTTGGGATCAGTTTAAGAATCACAATTATGGATAAAGACAAAAAACAGATTAAATAATAAAAAATTAAAATCCATTTTGTAATTCACATTTTTTATTATGTTTGTCTTCTTCATTCAATTCATGAAAAACAATTGTTTCTCTAATTATATATTTTAAATTATGCTTATTTTTTATCAGTTGTGTAACAAAAAACTGCATAATATGTATAAATTGTATAAATAATTTCAAATTTTAGCTAGTTTTGGTTTAACCAAAATCAAACCGAACAACAATTTACCGAAACAAACAAACAAAATTATTGTTCGGTTTGGTTGTGTAATGCATTTTGTTTGGTCGTTTGGTTCAAATTTTTAGACATCCAAAACTAATTGGTTTGGCAAATTTGTCATCCAAACTTGTCCAGAACCAACCAAATAAAGGCCCCTACATGCAACAGATTTAGACATCCAAAACTAATTGGTTTGGCAAATTTGTCATCCAAACTTGTCCAGAACCGACCAAACACACACCCCTACATGCAACAGCAAAGCCACTGGCTCCACAAGGACATCAAAACAGAGTGAAAGATAAAAAAAAATGGAGGAAAAGAGCAGTAACATTATAAAATAAAAAATAAAAAAATGGAAGCAGAACATTCAGCAATGATTGAAGAGGATATATAGCATTCTGCAAAAATTTTCAGCCACTTATTCGATGCGGAATCAAAGATACCAAGAAAATGTTAAACTAAACAACTAGACAAATCAGGATATTCCAAAATAGCATGTTATACAGAGAGGACAAACATAACACAGAATATAGCCTAGCATAATATTCATTGAATTTGCTAATCAGCTTTGAAACAGAACACAGAATATTCTTAATGGTTGGCAGTATTACCAATTCCTGTCGGAGCTTAGCGTTCTGTTGAACGGCAAGGTTCTTCTCATCAGTCAACTTTGATAGTAAATCCGATGCCTGTAGAAACAAAGGAGTATTGAATCTAAAATGTAGAGAAAGAAAATCTTAAAAAAAAAAAGCCATTAAAATAAGGAATTCTTTTCATAATTTAATTACCTCTGTTCACTTTCAGAAAGCAGGAAGTAAAATAATATAATGCATTAAATTAAATCTCTTCACCTATTCTTTGGAAAGAGTTTCGATGATGATATCTAGTGTTTAGTGGAATCAAAAGCAAGAGAGCGTTTTAGGCACAGGTGAAGTTTTGAATGTCAAACCACATAAAAATCCCATTATGTCAAATTAGCTACATAGCGTTTTGGGTTTACTTTCTTGCGCATTTATGTGGTGATCGTTTTGTTACATGCTATTGTTATCTTGGGCAGAGTAAATAAAATTATGTGTTCCAAATTTAATTACTCTTACATATAACATAGATATATTTGCATCACGATCATTAACTTTGTATGGAGAATTCTTGTGCGGCATTGGTGCTTTATAAACTAATATTATCTTAACTAATGTGATCGGGTAGATCAGTAACACCTGTTACTTGTTAAATACTCACACATACAGCTCAATTATGTATCTTCCATTATGTATTTAAAGGTTAAAAGTTCTAGAAAAAATACAAACCCTCTATAATGCAAGGAAAAGGTTCTGTGCATCTGGTGAGTGTTTCATTCAATGGATTACAATTTACAAATAATGAAGAGTCGACAGAAAATAATGGAAATGAAGTGAAAATAAATCTCACTTATCATTTATCTCCTTCTCTTATATTTATTCAACTTCTATTGTCTTCCATGTCTCTCCTACTATCCTAGAAAGACTAGCGAGCAAAGATCAAAAGAAAAGTGTTGACTAGGGGTGTAAACAAGTCGAGCGGAGCTCGAGTTAGAATAAATGGTTCGATCTAGAATGGCAAGCTCGAACTTGGCTCCCAATGATGACAGTAGACTCGCAAACTTGAGCCAAAAATCAAATTATCATGAGCTGGCCGGAGAAGGCATCGATGGATAGAGAATAATGAAAATGTCACTGCAGCTCGCCAAAGAAGGTACCAACGTGACCATCAACTGACTAGTTGAGCCAGCTCACAAGCCAACAGGCCGAACCTAGACACGCTAGAACTCGAGCTCATTTAATAAATGAGCTAAACTTTGAGCTCGAGCTAACAAGATCAAATTTAAGCTTGAGCACGTGGCTCAATAAGCTTGGCTCGCAATTTCGTTAATGAGTCGAGCTCGAGCCGGCTAGGCTCACTTACAGTGGAATAAGACATTGCATCTCCCTCCCTCCCTCCCTCTTGAGCTTCTTCCTCATCCTCTCCTTCTCTCTACATATTTCACCAAAACCGAGGAGTTTTAGAAAAGCAGATAAGAGAATGTTGAATATTGAAAAGTACCCAACAATTCATCCCTTAGTTCGTACGGAGTTTTAGAAAAGCAGAGAAGAGAATGTTAAATATTGAAAAGTGGGACCCAACAATTCATCCTTTAGTTCGTACCAATTATCACAACCACAAAATGTTTACTTTCTCAACCTCAGAGTCCCCATTTCCGCTTTTCTCATTTTTTCACATCCAACTCAACCTTCCCTTGTTTATTTATTCCATCAAACAGAATATGGGTAAGAGAAAAAGACAGTGGAAGTACAAAGTTCCCCTAAAAAAATTTTAAAATCCTAATTACAAGACCAGAAATGTTTAAGTGTTCTAACACTTGATCTAAAGTTTGCCACCTAATTAAACTTCAAAAGCATAAGCAGTGACAATGGTATTTCATGCTACAGTATGTCACAATTGTCCAATTCCCTCCATCCATAATCAAATTTCTATAATGCAGATTTCGTTCGCTGCTCTAGGCAGAAATTAAAAAGGATGAAGATTTACACATATACCACTCAATTCCTATGTATTTACATATATAACGCCTAAACTTTAATTTTTACATATACACCACCTAATCCATGCATGAAAAGGTGTATTTCATTTTTTGAGAGTTACAAGGGTGGTATTTTTTATGTGATATAAAACATTTGGGTGGTACACATATATAAAACAAAGTTTAGCTATTAGATATGTAAATACATAGAAATTGAGTGGTATATATGAAAATGCCCCTAAAAAAAAGTGACAAATATTCTATCTATAGCACAAACATGAACAACAATGACAATTTGGACATAAACTATTGATATTTTCAAAAGCATACAACTTCCAAACTCACCAGGAAATTAATTAGTTTAAATGGATTGAAAGATTTATTTGATGATAAGGCATGTAAAACGGACACCAAATGGTCTAGAAAAAGGGGTAAACATGCAGCGTCCACCAAAACAAATTGAAGAATTGCTAATAACAATACTTAAATTTAAACAGAAATAGTAAAAAAAGCAACATAAAGCAATAACAGTGAGGACCAAGAATGATAATATTATTTTAGTAATACGGTATTGATAGTTCCAAATTTAGAAGATAGAGTTGGATGACGTAATTATTCTTCAATAATTATCTTTATCTAATGCCGTACTACGCTATAAATTTTCCAAAATGATCTTCAGTAAGAGAAAGTTAAGCAAAATTATCATAAATACATCAGTCCAAATAAGAAAGCACTCAGTAAATGTTGTGCAACAAAACTCAAAAAAAAGTTATGATAAAAATGAAATATATATATATAGATATATATAGATATATATATAATGATGTCAAATAACATGGTAATTCTTTTTGTTAGCATGGAAAAGTAAAGGTTTCTATCATGAATATCTTGATCTTCTCAAGGAAATGTATGATGAACCTATTACTGGTTCAGGAAAAGTAGTATTAACGTGACAAAAAACCCAATAAAAATAGCATTCAATATAAATCATAGATATTCTTAACTTAATTTTTTCATATATGTAATGTTGTTACATACTACTTCTGGATGGAAAAATTCTGATCTTTCAAAGTAAATTTAAAGATAGAATAATGGAGGGAATTTTTGGATGATGAAAAACTCGAGTATCACTAAGGTGTAAAATATTATGAATAGTTTTATTGGGTCCAAAGAATGTATTGGTTCATTAATACGTAAAAAACATAACCACTAATCAAAGTTTGATGATTAAATGGAGAGGTTCCTTTATTGTGTCCCCACTCCAAACTTTTGACCACCAATTTATAGACTTTGGGGTGGGGTGTCATTTGCTTAACCTAAAAAGTAAATAAAGGTAAGAGGCATTAATGCTCAGGGAGCTCAAGTTCAAAGCTCAACACTTGCAATTTGGCCTTGAGAACTCTGCCCTCTGCAGTAAGAACTCGGTCCTTACAACCCGCCCTTTAGAACTCCACTATTTGGAATTCGGCTCTTGGAACTTGACCTTTGGAACTCGGTCCTTCGATCTCGGCCTTTGAAACTTAGCAAACTCAGCACTTGGAATTCAACCTATGGAACTCAGCCAATTCGGCCCTTGGAACTCGACCTGTGGAACTCATCCTATGGGACTCGGCCAACTCAGCCATTAGAACCATACAAACACAGTAGGTCAGTTCAGCAAGCTACTTTAGAGTTAGGGGTATACAAAAGTATACAAACAAACTTTGTTGGGGCATTGTCATATTGCATAGGAAGAACGACTTAGAATAGCATTAAAACAATAATTTAAAAGGGATGCCGTCGCATAACCCCTCATCTAACTTGTAAATTCCTTATAGTGTCAAAAGAACCAAAGTTCTGTGCTTGGCTTCCAATGAAAAGACCAAATGACAATCCTGAAGACTTTGGTCATGTATCAAAATCAAATAAATATAAAAAAGAAAATGCATGTTTCAAATGCAAAATTATCCAACTTCGATTCATATTGGGACTATAATGTAACTAGCAAGCTAATACAAAGTATTTCAAAGCCTCTTTAAGTAAAGGAAGGCTTCCATTGAATTCCTACAACATGGGAAAAAAAAGGCATTACAGTTAAAATTAAAAGGCATAAGCACCATTTTAATGATGCTAAAATTAAAATAGCACTAAAATCATGAAGGTTGCCCCTAATTACATTATTTTAAGTTTTTAATATGAGAGGACTCAGAACCCACCTCAGAAGATCTTTCTTTTGGCTCAAAACCTGCTGTTCTTGTCGTCTGAGCAAAAAATTATGTCAGTAACCGGATTTTTCTACTGAAAAAAAAAGGAAGATTTACATACCAATTCTTATGTTTTTACATATCTAACGCCTAAACTTTAATTTCTACACATATGGCACCTTACCTACGAATAAAAAGGTGTATTTCACTTTTTAAAACTTAAAATAGTGGTATTTTTATGTGATATAAAAGATTTGGATGATATAAAGGTAAAAAGTAAAGTTTAAGTGTTAGATATGTAATTGCATGGGAATTAGATGGTACGCATGTAAAAACCCAATAGCGAATACATTAACAGCAGCAAATTCCGAGGATGTAATGTGTCCATTATCTGACACAGACGGCCTAGGCGATGAACCCTCCTCGGATCCCTCTGGAACTGGCGAGGGAGGTTGAGGTGGTGAAACATAGACTACACGCAGTTTAACCTCGTCCACAATGTGGCCTGAATCTTTAGAGAACTAAACAAGAAAACATCCAATAAAACAGCCCAAATTGTAACCAAAGAGTGATTAATTGAAAAAAAAATGCACAGTAGGAGTACTGTAATCTTCCGTCAAAAAAAGTACCATTTCTGCAGTAATGTCTTTCAAAGCGGCACCTTGATTCACGATGACGCTCTGAACAAGAAACTTATCCTTGCTTTGCATGTCCGAAGGAGCTTCCCGCTGCGCCTGCATAGTAACTAACGCACAACAAGCATATTCTTATACAGAAAATAAGGAAGGAACAAACAATAACTTGTATCAGCTATGGGACAGAAATCAGAAATCACCAACAACATCGCATGTGGATCGAGGCAATACAATCCCAGTGTTAGGCCTCACACAGTACTTTTTCGGACTGGTAGTCTTGACCTGAATCATGAACACGCAAAGCTCTAATTTTTATCCCCGTCTTCTAGGGCACGTCATAAAGAAGCGATGTAACCGATTAAAACCTACCTTGAATGCTATATAATCATTGGTTTTGTTTGTTAAATGGAGAGAACACGAGATCTGTTTCTTTAGCTCGACTTCTCGGATCAAAAAAACGTAAAAATCAAGTCAGAAGATTAAAAAATCTTAACAGCCGAAAGAGATCGGACAGAATTTCACGACAAATTCGCATAAATGGAATAAAAGACATGAAACTCACAGGGAAATTGAAGCTCCAGCGGCTCAATTCCAAGCAAGTCCGTCGCGCTCATGTCGAGATCGAGTAACTCCCAACCGCGAAATAGAATGAAAAAAATGCAGCAGAAACAAAGAAGGAAATTTGTTGAAGCACGGAAGAGGAGAGGGAAAAGGTGCCAGTAGAAGAAAAAATTAAACTCCCACTGCAGCAATTTGGGATTTCGAGAGAGTGGAGAGGCTCCGGAGCAACAAGGAAAGTGGCTTAAACTCCCGGATACCTTCTGTAGAATATTCGAATTATTTATTTATTGGGTTCTTGGTT